AGAGATACCTGCAAACCAGTGGTCACTGGAGCACTCTTCACTAGAGTCAAAGAATCAGTCTACATACCCATCAACTGGTGAAAGGGTAAATGCATCACACACCCAGTGGAATGGTATTTGGTCACTCACAAAAAAACTTAAGTATGTCATTTGTAAGGAAATAGACAGAACTTAGATTACATCTTAAGCAAAATAAAACAGACTCAAAAAGATCAATACTGTATGTTTTCTGTCAAATGAATTTAAAGAAGGAAAGAGATGACTGTTTAGAGGAAGATGGGGCCAACAGAATGAGAAAGGGGGATAAGGAAGGGTTAATGTTAAAGCATATGATGGAAGCATGTGTGTACATGTATGACAATACATGCTGGTTGATATGCATCAAAATGTCAAGGGCTGTAATTTGCTGCAAAAATATCATGGCAATGATTATTATTATAGAAATGCTATATCATGAATTCTAAACAACAGAAATGTATTGTCTGGTGAAAAATCAATAATTATACTCATATTGTCAATATGAGCTGTATCTAATACTAACACAGACTTATTCTATTGCCCTATTAGCCAGAAAGAATCAAAATGCAATAATGTAATTTGGGTAAGATAATTGTATTTCTAATAAGGAGAAAGGAAGAGAAGATAGTATTCTAATTGCAAGGTTGCAGTTTTCATTACTTTAAAAACTACTTTTATTCATTCTCTGCCAGTGGCATACAATGTGTTTGATCATACTCACCCCACAACTCCCACTAGATCTACTGCATTCTCTACCCAGCCAACATTGCATCCTTTTATTTCTTTTTAATAACCCACAAGTTCAACTTGTGCCCATATACGCTTGGGTGTGAGTCCAATCTCTGGAGCATTGCCCAGCTGCAAACGTGTAATGAAATAGCAAAGGAAAATGGATGCCAAAGCAAGAAGTGGAGAATCAGAGGCTAAGGCCGGTAAAGCTACCACAGATGGTGAAGCACAGGCTATTGAGCCAAGGGGGCTAGAGCACAGAGCCCCAGACGCAGAGGACACCTTCCAGGCCATGAAAGACTGGAATTTGCCCTGCTGGGCTCATAACCAGTAGACAATTTAGTCCTTCCATTTATCCCTCTTCAGAG